ATCACGAAATTTTTAACTTTGTCAGATTAATGCTTTTTCCTATAAGAATCTCAAAGATTCTAGAGGAGATTTTCCCTGTGTTACCTTTGAAACGGAAACAGATAACCACAATTAAAGTGGAACAGATTATACATCATAATGGAGGTGAGATTCAAAACAGAATCCAAATCATGGAATGTTTTATGCACAAACTATTGAACGGGAAACTAATTTACTCTGTAAGCTTTCCCCTAATGTACAATAAAAATTTAAAAAATAAAATAAAAATAAAGTATCATTTAAAAAAAAACAAAGGAGAATCTAAAAAAGTTCTATCTCAAGTCTCGTCCCCTGAGGTACTCCACCAGGGATTTCGTCCAGCGGAATTGTCAGTCTGGAACTCACACTGTAGAATTTTTATCCTCCAAGTGCCAATATTTTTAATTTTCATAAAATTGAAGCCTTTAGAAAAATAAACAAGATAAAGCAGACTCCGTAACTCAGAAGAAAAGTCTCTAATAGCTTTCTTGTCCCTATTCTAAGGATCTCTCAAGAGCCTAAAAAATTATAACTTAGAATTTATATTTTATTCTTATTAGAAATACTTGAGTAACCTACAGTCATTCTCAAATACCTTACTTTGGACGTGTCATCAGGAGGGGCCAGTCTTTGGAGAAGGACATCATGTTTGGTAAAGTGGAGGGCCAGTGAAGGTGTGGGAAACCCTCAGTGAGATGGATTGATACAAAAATGGCTGCAACAATGGACTCAAACATAACAAAAATCATGAAGATGGTACAGGACTTGGCAACATTTCATTCTGTCATACACGGGGTTGCCATGAGTTGGAGCCAACTCAACAGCAACTAACAACATTCCTGAAGTAAGAAATATTATCTCTGATCTAAAAATTAGACATAGGAAAAGTGGAGAAGGCAAGTCTCAGCAAATCAAAGATTACAACTCCAGGTCCTGATAATCAATTTATATTTTGGCCTAGAGGGCACAAATTATACCCAAAAGTTATGTAATGTGATCTTTCAAATTTCACACAGAGAAATATGGTTCACACATATGCACATGTGCACCCGTACACTTCAAACCAAGTACACACCGCACTCCTCTACCATGTAAACACAAATAGTAAGTCAAGATCACAAAAACCATTGCAAAGATTGCTAATCACCCTGAACATTTTTATGGTGGTGGCACAAACAAACAAATAGCATTTAATGATTTACAATATTAATTTAAAGGAGACGCAAATTTAAATACACAGGATCAAAATCTGTGCAAATACTCTTTTCCTTATTTGTAATCAGTTATATGTATAATTACTGAATGGCCAAATGTTCTCCTTCTTCCCATATTCTGTCAAAAGGGCAATGCCTCCTATGAAGATTTTCTGAAACAAGTATTTTATCCCACTCACTCATGGAAATGGTGTGAGTCCTGATTTAGTAACCTGAAGTTATCCCTCTTTTATGAGGCATAAAACTCTTCCTCGGTAAATAAACAAGACTAATGAAATGTTCTTAAGAAAACTGGCACCAACAATGAAAACATCCAGAGCAGTCTACAAATACCTATTTGGGGGACTATATAAAAGTCTCAGGAAGGAAGAAGACTTTTGGAGTCAAGTAACTTGAGTTTTGCAACTAGTCTCTGTTCTTCACTTCCAATAGGATGCCTTCAGGCTGTTCTCTCACATGCTGCTCTTCTGAGTCTGGTGCCAGGGCTTCTGATTATCCATCTGTTTCAACATGTTCTGTGGAAGCAGCTTGTCTCCCTAATGCCTGTGTTACATCCAGATGCCAGACCCCCACTTTCCTATCCAGGTCTCGCTTGTCAGCTGGTTGCCTCACACCATGTTACTTTGCTGGGAGCTGTAATATTCCATGCTTGGTGGGGAACC